GGTGCTGCCTCAGTCTCCCGTCTCGCACTGACTGCCTTGCTCTGCTTTGCAGGGTAGCCACAGACCACAACTCAGACAACACATCGGCTGTGCTGCGGGAATGGCTGGTGGCTGTAAAGAGTTTGTACCACTCCGTGGAGTGGCGGCCAGCAGAAGAGCCCAGGTGAGCTTCAGGTTCTGCCCTGACACCGCCCCCCACCCCAGGCAACTGGGCTGTATCCCTATTCACACACCTTCCATGACTCCCTGTTGTCCTGTGACAACCCCAGCCCCTCTGCCCCTGACTCTCCAGCCCAACTCTGCAGCCTTAAGGGCTGCCCGTGGCTACTCTGACCCGCTCTTAGCTTCAGTGGGCCGCAGTCCTCCAGCTGGACCTTTTTCCCCACAGTTCCCTGCACCTAGAGTTCCCTCACTCCCTTGTCCTCCTGGTGGACGCCTATTGCTTTCTTCCCAGTCTCACTCTATGCCCCAGGGCCAGCCCTGCTGCTTAGCTTCCCATGCACCCCTGGGCAGTGCAGGCCCCTGGTTCCTTTCAGCTTTTCAGGGTTTATTTCTTTACCTCTCTGCCTACATCCCCTCCTCCAGGAAGCCCTCTCTGACCACTGCCCTCTGGGTTGCCATAGGGCCCCATCCTTAGCACATCACAGCTGTCTCTCCGCAGGTCCTACCCGGATGAGGAGGGCCCCAAACACTGGTCTGACTCGCGCTATGAGCACGTCATGAAGTTGCGCCAGGCAGCCTTGAAATCTGCCCGGGACATGTGGGCCGATTACATCCTGGTGAGTCTCTCAGCCGGCTACTCTGAGATCGTGGGGGAGATCAGTGGGTTGTGGAGACCATCCTTAAGCCCGTTTACAGAGGGAAACAGGCTCTGAGAGGAGGAGTGAGTTGTCAGAGGTGACACAGCTGGTTAGCGGAGGAGCTGGGGTTCAATCTAGGGCCTCCGGGGTTCTTAATCATCAGCTGGTGTCCCCAACCATCCCCTGTGGTTGGACCCTCGGGTTGTCTCCTCTTTATTGCCACCTCTGTGCACCCCACAATTCCTCTGGGTGACTGCCGAGAAGCTGGAAGATGGGGTGGAGATCTGGGGGGCGCTGGAGACGCTGGGCTGCTGAGGCGTGACTTTCACTTCCTTCTCCTGGGCCGGCCATTGCCTCTGGAGGAAGGGACGGTTCAGGCCGGAATGCATTCGTGTGAAGGTACCTGCGCGCAGGCCTGTAAGAGCTCCTTCAGCCCAACCCCTTGATTTGGACGTGACCCCCTCCCCTGGTGTGGGTGGGGCTGGATGGCGCTGGCCGCTGGGCCTGCCTACCCGTGGAGGCTGAATGCGATGATGCCAGCCTGACAGAGCCTGTGGTTGGTTTCCATCTAGGCGCCAGGCCCCGAGCTGTGGTCTGTACCTTCTTTATTCAGTCAGCCCCTCCCTTGCCCGCCACCTGCCAGAGCCTTAGGACGCAGTGAGGATCAGCACAGGCTGAGCCCTGCCTTCCTAGTGTCCCAGGAAGGGGGGCCGTGACCAGAAACCAAAACTCAGTGAGGAAGTATCTAGAGGCAGCAAGTGCTGTGCTCGTAGAAAGGCAGCTGGTGATGGATCAGTGTCCTGGGGTTGCTGTGACAGAGAACCACACACGGAGCGCACGGCGCTGTGGTGAGCGCGGCACCCGCCTTCCCCGCGCCGGGCCTGCCGCCCCCTCCCCGGCGGCTCCACCCCGCGCGCTGCCTGCTGCCCTGGCCCGGGGCTGGCCGGACCCACGCGTGTCCCCTGCTTGCTTCCCTCTTCGGAGCGGGCCAGACGCGCGGGCCCTCTGCTTGCTGTCCCTCCCTCCCCGTCTCTGTCCCGCCGCTGTGGGACTGACCGACCGCCCTCTGCTTTCCGGCCCCGCGGGTACGGCAGATCCGGGACCACTGGTGCCCAGCCCAGGACTGGGCCGCTCTGCCTGGGACTAACCCTCAAGCCGCCTTCGGAGCGCTCACAGCTCCAAAGAAGGGGAGCCCGGAGCCCCCACGCTCCACACTGCACTTCCACTAACAGGAAGTCTTTTCAGCTTCTGCTGCATTGGATCCTGAACCCAGCCTGAGTCAGATCCCCTGCCCTCTAACGAGCGTGGGTGGGTGGGTGCGTGGGTAACGGGACCAGGTGGCCAAGGGTCGGGGAGTGGATCCTTCCCGCAAGGGGAATGGGGCAGAGCCATGTCGGCTGACTGGTGACTTCCCGCCTCCTGCCTCGGTTTCCTAATCTGGAAAATGGGGGCATTAATATAACTCTGGTTGCCTTCATCTCCGAAGATTAACCAGTTAATGCACGTGAGGCCCTGTGCCTGGCATCTCTGGCTTGGTGCTCAGTGACCAGAAATGTGGCTATTTTTATATTGTCCTTACTAGTCACCGCTGCTGTTGTTGGCAACTTATTAACAACTTATTTGAGGGGATAGCAGCTCTCCTCTTCATGTGGACTCCTAAATGGCCCTCACCCCTCCATCCCAGATTCCCTAGCCTGGATAATGCAAGCACACAGTTGGTGCTTAAGAAATGTTTGTTGAGGGGCGCCTGGGTGGCTCAGTCAGTAATCCTTTGCCTTAGGCTCAGATCATGATCCCCGGATCCTGGGATCGAGCCCTGCATCGGGCTTCCTGCTCCGCCGGAAGCCTGCTTCTCCCTCTCCCACTCCCCCTGCTTGTGTTCCCTCTCTCTCTGTGTCTCTGTCAAATAAATAAAATCTTTAGAAAAAAGAAAAAGGAAATGTTTGTTGAATTAATGAGGAAGCACAGGCCACTATGAGATGGTGTTGTTCATAAGAGAGAATCGAGGAAGGTGGGATGGGGGTAGATAATATATACATTTTTAAATTAAATCACAATATTTAGTACTTAATGTGGTTATAAGATCCTAGGTGCTCAGTAGTACTAACAGTGTCCAATGTGTTTTTCCCAAAATTAGCTTGTTTAATCCCCTCTGCAGCCCAGTGAAGCAGGTCCCATCCTCATCTCTGTTTCAGATGAG